GGCCAGGCCTTCCACATAATTACAAAGTACCGTGTTCAAGTAATATTCCATAACACGCTGCCAGCTGAAGCATTAGTGAGTGATTAGGACTCATCCACACAGTCCTAACAAACACACCACATGGAAGACATCAAATGGCTCATTTTAACCCAAACTTACTGAAATACAGTAACGAAATTGATCCAGTCTTGATTTTTTATTATGAATAAAATGATTACAGTACTACCACAATGCATAATTTCTTTAAATTAAAAAAATTAAACATATATACAGAGTATTATTGTATAACACACATCAGATTGGCCCTCCAAAGACATGTCAGCCAACTATTTACGCAAAATATACATAGACTATTTAGCATTCTGCTGTGCTAAAACAAAGAACTACAAAGATTAGGAGGATCTTGATGAAGTTGGTGACTCTCCTGATCAAACATTGGTTCTTTAGCTCAAACTCAGTTTATTTTATGCTGCCTTGCTGCCTGCTGAATGATTATCTGCCATAACACACACAGATGGTGTCTTTCAGAGCTGGCAGAACTGACATACACTAGGGTTACAGACACATATCTCTTGTGGTTGAGAAGTTTATTTCACATTATGAAATATCTTAAACCAGGGGTGTCCAAACTCGGTCCTGGAGGGCCGGTGTCCTGCAATAAAGAATATCTCTTTGGATTTGAGACTTTAGTCTTTGCAACTTTACAGATCTTCTTTATGCACCAAGAGCTTGTAACACACCAAAGAGAAAGGAAAAATTGAAATCGCATCATATGACATCTTTAAACATTCCAGTGACCGAAACTAACGCACAATCCAAAGGCATGAGTCACATAACAGAGAAGCAGAGGATGCCTTGTGAATGTACACATTTTACATGAGTCCACTGGTGGAGTATTAATGGTATCCTCCTCTGCGAATGGTATCAGCACCCAGTGTTGGGGAAAGTTACTTTTAAAAGTAATGCATTACAATAATCTGTTACTCATTAAAAAAGTAACTAAATGTGTTACTTAGTTACTTTTATGGAAAGTAATGCGTTATGTTACTTTTGCGTTACTTTTCCTCATCCAGGCTGGACTTGCTTGTTTGTTTTTAGTATAAAAAAAGTTATATTTTTGGCAAATGTAAAAGGCCATTCACACCAGAAGTGAAATGAATGAGCCTCAGGTTGAAGGAAATGTAAATTCACGTCTGTACAGTAGAGGCCGCAGCTCAAACAAACCTTTCAGCTGAGCTGAATTGCATGAAGAACTGGATTGCATGAAGTTCTGGATTGCATGAAGAACAAGACGCAGAGAAGAAAGCTCAACACTCTTCAGCAATTAAAAAAAATTAAACACAAATGTTATGATTATCTAAAGTCATTTCTGCTTATTAGTGTGGTCGAATTGGATCATCAAAGGTCAGCAGCAAAGACATAATAAAATGGGATTAAATACATAAAGGAAATTTGTGTTAATTAATATTTAATTATTGCAGGTTTTCATCATTTTTTGAGTTTGCATTTCACAGTTTTTATTCATTGAGTAATTCTGAATCTGTTTCTGTGCAAGTGAGATTAGTAAATGCTATTGTAATGCACTGCTAGGTGGTTGTCCTGCATCTTCAATAAACAAGCTACAGGTAGTCCAAAATGCAGCGGCTAGAGTCCTTACCAGGTCAAGAAAATATGATCATATTACCCCAATTTTACAGTCTCTGCACTGGCTACCTATTAAATTCCGTATCCGTTACAAAATATTATTACTTGCCTATAAGGCCCTTAATGGGTTAGCTCCTGCGTACCTAACTAGTCTTCTACCACGCTACAATCCATCACGCTCCCTAAGGTCGCAAAACTCTGGACTTTTGGTAGTACCTAGGATAGCAAAGTCCACTAAAGGAGGTAGAGCTTTTTCGCATTTGGCTCCCAAACTCTGGAATAGCCTTCCTGATAACGTTCGGGGTTCAGACACTATCTCTCTATTTAAATCTAGATTAAAGACACATCTCATGGCCAAGCATTCAAATAATGCATCTCATAATCTT